AGTGAACACGAAAAGCATACCGGATAAATGATGACGTCAACAGGTCATAGCGAGCTATATCCACCCTGAAGGTTAATTTAGGACAATATTCAATTCAAATTCAATTCAAAAATACTTTATTGATCCCAGAGGGAAATTTGGTAATATCTGACGATTGGCTCTTTTAAATGAAACCAGAGAGCGTTGACAGAGAGGAGAAGGTAGAAATGACTCAGCCTGGAACTGAAAATATAGATGGAGGACAACAGAGCTGCTTCATGGAAGAAGAGCCTCAGCTTAGCCTGTTAGCCCCGACGCTATATTGCCTTGTATGTTTTAGCTTGGTGCTTGCGCAACAAACTAACAAGCTAAACTGAGGTCCTCCATCTATATTTTCAGTTTCAGGCTGAGTCATTTCTACCTTCTCCTCTCTGTCAACGCTCTCTGGTTTCATTTAAAAGAGCCAATCGTCAGATATTGTCCAAGATTAACCTTCAGAGTGGATATAGCTCACTAGCAGCCTCACACCGATGTCCTATCCACGTAATCATTTACCCAGAATACTTTGCGTGTAAATAAAATTGCCTCGTCCGTGTAATATATTTTAAAACTTTCATTTAAAAAATATAAAAACTAAACAGCCTACAGTATTTTTAGTCTGTATTTTACAGTTAAAATATATGTTCATCACAGGATGATGATGATGTAATCATCGGACACTGAGTATCTGTCACCTGGAGGTCGATGAGGTCCTGGATCATGTATTTGTTCCAGAAGAAACGATCGTCCACCTGCTTCCACAGAGGTAAAGCAGATTTATCCGAGTCGCCCTGGCGCTGCACGCTGTTCGTCAGGTCGTAGGTGGTGCTGTAGTAAAAGGAGTCCGAGTCCATGAACACCTTGTACAGCTCGTCCAGCAGGCGCCGCTCCAAACGCTCCTTCTCTTTGTTCTCTTTGACCTGGAAGGCAGGTGAATACTGGAGTGGGACGGCAGGCGGGCGGAGAGCGGAGGGAAGCGTAAGAAGCCAAGAAATCCCACAGAGAAGAAGGAAAAGCCTGAAAACTGAAAGCAGACGCACCTTTTTCTTGATGGGAACGGCCACGTTGGATTTAATCTGACTGAAAGTTTTCAGCAGGAACTTTGAATCCTCAGGAGACGGGGCCAGTTTCTCCGGTTTGTCGATTCCAAAGTGATGCTTCTTGCAGAGCTGCGAAGAAATGAAGAAAATGTCAAATTTCTGGGTTTGAGTGAGGTTCTGCCTCCGGTGGAGGAGCTCAAACTTCTCAGGGTTTTAGTCTCGACACTTCCAACGGCTCTCAGGAAACGTTAGGGATGACTCTCAGCTACCAAAACCCTTTTTACTAAAMTATTTATAAACATGAAGCAGTTTAGCTTAGCTGTGGCAGCCATCTTAAATCAAACGTAAACAGACTGTAGACGTACTTCATGAGWTATTTTGCTAACAGACAAAGTTATTAGAGCTAACAAGTTTTMGTTTTGAATTTTAGCTATTTTACATGTTTGCTGGATCCACTTAGCTGCYACGGCCATCTTGGATTAGCTGTAGACGAACATCTGTTTATTCATTTCTGAGAATTATTCAGTTCTGTCCATTTGTTCATGAGATATTTCACTAACTAATATTTAAACAAAGGCTAAAACGCAGTTTTTCGCATCTATTCACATCTCATAGACCAGATAAAATTGTGGCAATGGCCTCCTCTGGCCTGCGGGCCTTCATTTTGACACATGGGATTCAAAARATTTTGCGATAAAAGTAAATGTAGAAATTTGTTTAGAGTTTATTTCCAAACAATAGCTGAAGTAAACAGGTTGAGTCACTACAGTGGACTAAATAATTCTAATTTAAACTATCTACATTCATCTGTAGGGATTCTAAAAGCAGAACACGACAGATGGAGGTTCTGTGGGTCCAGGTCTAAAAGCTACCGGTCCACCTCCTGGTTTTACTCACTTGGAAGAATTCAGTCTCATCATCCAAGAAGCTTTCCRGAAAAACTGAAATCTTAGTAAAATTGTTATTTGTTATTTTAATTTAACTTTTCCGACATGAATCACGCTCTGACTCATGCTGGGTATTTTTAGTACATTAATAAAAATTCATTTTCACAAGTTCTGACAGAGCTGAGACAGTATTAATAGAGCATCAGCAGAATGTGAGAGCTCTGCCCACCTCCAGGTCCAGCTCCTGAGGCTCCTCTTCAGACAGAGGAATCACAACGATTTTGGTGATTTTGTAAACCTTGTGGTTTCCTGGTAAACGACCCACCAGAGCTTTCTGACGGATTAAAACGAGGCCGAGTGGAAGATCTGCCAAGAGAGAAAAACATGAAGGAAGAGCTGCGTCATTCATGGTAATCAGTCTGAAGGTGTTAATTAAGAAAATATAGATTTTATTAAGAAGCTGTATGAAACATCCAGCAAATAAATATCTATATTGTGATTTTATTTGGTACACAGAGTATTATTTGCACTTTATTGTGAAAGGGTATGAATGCAGACAGAATCAGGATTACTAAAAAGTTTTTATTTAAATATTCCAAACTTTTCCAGACTCAAAAATCTACCAGCCGACGTTTGTTTTTTAACTTCTAGAAACAAAATTAATTTACAGCTGATATTTTCCACAGTAACAGAAAACATGAAAAACAGACTAAACTAGAAAAATTAGCATTTTCTGCAGAAAACAGTCAACGCTGAGCACTTTACTGTGTTAAACAATCTGAAACTAATTTATCAAAATCAAAACGATAACAAATCCTATATTTCTCAAAAACTTAGCTAGAAACCAAACAGCAAAATAAAAGCTAAAAGTTAAAACCAGCAAAACTGTAGCTAAAAGGCTGAATAAAGCAAAACTGTTAATAAAAACGTAAACGAGCAAAACAGAAGTTAAAATTAAATTATGGCAAAACTGTAACTACAAGCTAAAAATGGTGCTAAAATGTTAGCTCAAAGAAAAATATAACGGTTACCACATATAACATAGCTACAGTTTGGCTCACTGTTAACAAATTGTAGCTCAAAGCAAAAAAAGAGCCAAACAGTAGCTACAAGCTAAAAGGAGCTAAACTGTAGCTACAAGCTAAAAGGAGCCAAACCATAGCTACAAGCTAAAAATTAGCTAAGCTGTAACTACAAGCTAAAAAGGAGCCAAATTGTAGCTACAAGCTAAAAAGGAGCCAAACTGTAGCTGCAAGCTGAAAATGAGCTAAGCTGTAGCTACAAGCTGAAAATGAGCTAAGCTGTAGCTACAAGCTGAAAATGAGCTAAGCTGTAGCTACAAGCTGAAAATGAGCTAAGCTGTAGCTACAAGCTAAAAGGAGCTAAACCATAGCTACAATACAAGCAAAAAAAAGAGCCAAACCATAGCTACAAGCTAAATGGAGCCAAACCGTAGCTACAAGCTAAATAGAGCCAAACCGTAGCTACAAACTAAAAATGAGCTAAGCTGTAGCTACAAGCTAAATGGAGCCTAACTGTAGCTACAAGCTAAAAATGAGCTAAGCTGTAGCTATAAGCTAAAAGGAGCTAAACCGTAGTTAGAATGCAAGCAAAAAAAGAGCCAAACCATAGCTACAAGCTAAATGGAGCCAAACTGTAGCTGCAAGCTAAAAATGAGCTAAGCTGTAGCTACAAGCTAAAAAGGAGCCAAATTGTAGCTGCAATAAGGATCTTCTAAAGTTTAGAAACAAACTTTTTTTAAAATTTTGTCTATTTTTATTTAGACCAAGAAATGACTACATTAAATTTATTTATTATTATTTATTATTCGTTTATTTTTGAATTCACCTTAGGAACTTTGTCACAACTAAATACACACAGTTCATAGTATTTTACTCTATTTGTACTAATAAAACCCACAGAACGGGAGCGTCCTGTTCCCACACACACTGAAAATGTGATCAGGACACAGTGAGATGGCTGCAGGAACAGTTTATTAGTAAAAACAAAAGGTTTGCTCTCCTCCTACCTGTGTGAAGCTGGATTTTTCCAATGACYCCTTCTACCAAACCCAAACACACCGGGTTCCACGCCAGCAGCAGGTCTGTTGCTGAAACAAATAAATGGAAATGAGCTTGAGTGAGGCGTTGATGGAGACACAGTTACAGAGACTGTTTTTATTTATCGTCTCACTGTGACCCAACAGAGAACAAGATAATCATTTCCTGCCATCAATGACACCGTTTTACATTAAACAAGCATTTCTTAGACGAATGATTCTGGCAAGTTTTAAACAACGGCCTGTGGGACCTCTGTATATAACTCTCAGCAACTACCACACCAAGCTGTGGAGCCATATCTGTACAGCTGACAGGGTCAGTTAGCTGCTGCGGCCATCTTGATCAGGTCAAGTGGGTCAAAAAGTCAGTTGTCGATGAAATTAAGCATCAAAATTAAGAAAATCTGCAGCTACAAGTTTAAAAAGTCAAACTGAAGTTTCAAGATAAATGTAGCCAAACTGTAGCTGAAAGCTAAAGGAAGCTAAATCGGAGCTACAAGCTGAATGGGGTCAAACTATGGCTGCAAGCCAAATCTGCAGGTACAAGTGAAATGTAACCAAACCACAGCTACAAGCTATAAATGTAGCCAAACCACAGCTACAAGCTAAATGTAGCCAAAACATTGCTGAAAGCTAAATTGAGCCTAATTGTAGCTACAAGCTAAATTGATTTGATTTGATTTATTGATTTAACAGGAAAAGATTACTAAAAATCAAGCCTGACTCAGCATAATTGCTGTTTTACAGCAG